TATATATATTTATATACATATACACACACACACACATATATATATATACGCATAATATATCAACATTATATATATACTTGTAACATATTGTATACCGTTTATATGAATAATAAAGATATAATATTTTGATGTAATTTTGAAGTTGTACAACATATTTTGATATTTTAGTTTCATTTTGAAAAATAAAAAAAAGAATTATGTGAAGATATTTATTTTACTGACAGTTTATTTATTTTGTTTAATATATATTCATTTATTTTAAAAAATTGGTATTCTTAAAAAGAATTTATTAACTTTCTTTCAAATTCATTTATGTAGACATAATTTTCAATTAATATTTTACAAATAATGTGTATTTTAGATATAAATGTATTTAGATATTAATGCAAATACCAAATTATGAATTCAAATGAGCACTTGAGGTATCAAATTCAATAAATATTCAAGTAATAATATATATCTGTGATATTTTCGTCATTTTCCAAAAATATATCATCATGCTTATTAAGTTTTATTTTATTTACTTATGTACATAAATACATATAAACGTTTCAATTCGAAACTATTTATAATTTCTCATAAGTACAATACAGATGCATAGATTTATCTTATTCGTACCATGATTTACTCAATGTTTATATTTTTGTTATCAATTTTGAAAATAATCAATTTTAATGAATTGTTAACGATATATATTTCATAAATATACATATAAAGGTACATACGAGATTATGAAGTAACATTATATCAAAATTGTGGTATTTTTAGAAATATAGATTTATCAGGCATATAACCATTTTAATTTTAATATAAAATTAGTTACTTATTATTTTTTTTAATTATAAAATGTTACAATTTGAATTTAAAGAAAACGTTTTATCCTCGATTATTCATTATATTTTATCATTATATTTTGTTGATGAACTTTATTTATAATATTTATCATAAAAGAAAATTTATGTTAATAATATTTACATAACAATTTTTAAAGATAGTTTAATATAATTTTTATATTTTTTTTTTTTATTAATGTCACTTTAATGATTGGTATATAAGTTTAAAAATTTCATAGAGGTTGTACCATCTACAAGTTTGAAATCTGTGAATCATGATTAAAACTGCTTGACAAATTCAAGCGTTTGGATGCTATTGTTACGTAGTGTATGTATCACACTGTAGTGACAGCTACGTCAAGTTACATGACTTGCTCGTTTGCGGAGTTAAAACAGATTACTTCATTTACCAATTGTTCAGATCCTACAGTAAATACTTGGAAAGCAATTTACAATATTTTAGGATGGGCGTAATTTTCTTGGAACATATCGGAGGTACTCGCTTGTTCTCTTGCGCTTCCTGTGATACCAATCTTACAAACAGAGGTCAGCTGATAAGCACGCGTTTTACGGGCGCTACAGGCCGTGCTTTTCTCTTTAACAAAGTCGTCAACTTAAATTACAGGTATTCGCGTTTTTCCTTTGTTCTTTTAAATATGCTGACACAGATCAGTGTAATAATATATAATAAATTTATGTTTATAATTTTACTTTTTAAAAATTCTCGTGCTTGACAAACAAAAATGATTGTGTGAAGTGGAATGTTATTATTTTCATGTACCTAAGAAAGTAAAAAGAAGAAAGTAATGAATTGATGAAAAACTTGAATTATTAGTTGGGAAAAGATGTGTATAAATAAGTATGAGGAAAGAATCGCAGTAATCGTTTATAAAATTAATTACAAAGCTACAATATGGCGTCGTTTTTGTTTTGATACGTTCCATTGTATTATTTGGATATTATATTAAATTTATTAAAACATTTAAAAAAATTTTGTGATTTCTAGAAATTTATCAATTTCAAACAAAACTAAATTTATTGTTTAATCAATAATTTAAATATTTATAATCTTTATACTTTCATTTTCATATTGACTGTTATCCTTAGGTACATGATTTTCCTATTTATGCATATTTAGCTTTTTAACGTTATTTAGCACACAGGATACCATTCGTAAATGTACAAAATCTCAGAGAAATTGTACTAATGGAATAATCTTATATAATCCTTACCTATTCATAATTTAATTTGTCTACAATGATACACAGCGAGGTACAGGATAGAGTGATGTTGACGGGTCGTCACATGGTCCGAGATGTCAGCTGCAAAAACTGTGATGCTAAACTTGGGTGGGTGTATGAATTTGCAACAGACGATAATCAACGATACAAGGAAGGCCGTGTCATCCTGGAACGTGCTTTAGTCACAGAAAGCGATGGAATGGGCGACAATATTTAATACTGTACAAGTAGCACATCATAGGATAAGAATACTCTATAATTAGTGTAAAATCAGTTATCCTTTTTCTCAGTGTTCCTTCATCATTTGGAGTAATCAAAAAAAAAAATTGTTGTATGAGTATATGATAATTTATATTTAATATTTAATATTTTTGTAAACATCAAAAATATTTTATGGTATTACATATTTCTATTATTTTTTTAAAGTTATTTTTCATTTAAACATGTATATCATTTAAATCTGATTTGAAATAAAGATTCAATCTATTACTGTGTTAGTATTTTTAATATCATGATATTGTTTTTTTTATATTAGAATTTATTGTATAGGAAAAATAAGTAATATACAATAAATCAAATAAATTGTAATTATATATAAATATATCAAATATAAATTCATTAGAATTTAAGTAAAATTATTGACTTATAAATAATAATTTATTATAAGTTTAATTAATTATAAGCAATAGTTTAATTATATTGTTATTGCTTTATCGGCAACAATAGTAATAATTCCATGCGTGTAAGAGATTGTAGCTTTTTGTTAACAAATCGATGTGTATCTATTAAGAAATTGATAAAAAACCACAATCTTTTTTGAAAAATAAATATTTTTCAAAGAATTAATTTGAGTTAAGTGTAGCTATAAATCCATTAATAATCTTATAATCCGATCCACATTATCTTATAAGTATGTATTAAAGCTAGAAGTGAATTTAATTAAATTTTACATATGTACTAAAAAGCCAAACAAAATGATCGACATATTTGAGACACAAATGAACCGCGCCCCAAACCGTTATATGATTGGTTGTTACTATTCGAGCGAGGGCCAATGGTAGTGGCGAAGTTCTGCAACGAGTCGCGACGACGACCAGTGTGGTCACGTAAGCCCACCATACCGCATGGTGGATACATGTTTCCTTTAACTCAACGTCGTATAAAATGCTATAATTGTGTATTGTTGTTATTTTGCAAGGAGCACAACAATCCTGTGGAGCAGCCACCTCCAGCCTTGCATACGGTAATTACATCAATATATAACTAAATTATATAGTGGTAGCTCGTTGACCGATTGGAACGTACAATTTGTTGTTTGCTGTTCGGCTCAATGGCCGAGTGCTAGTCGCACAGTAGCAATGTATCCGTTACATTTATACAATATCTCTTTCATTTATTTTGTAACCGTTTCATTATCTGATTGCATATATATTTTCACTATGATGAGTGATTAATATTTACATATAAATGAAATTTTTTTTATTCTCGTTTTTTTTCTCTTCTTACTTCGTCCTTTCCCCTCTTCTGTATCCCACGCATACAAAGATACGCAGCGGTACCGATGAAAGCGACTTGAAGAATTCTACGGAAATACGAAATGAAATTTTTTTGGAAAATGTTTAATATTATTATGCGGAAGTTTTTGGTACTGGGTAGAGTTAGAATGCAGCGTCGTATTATTTCTGTTCGTAAAAAGGATCGTATCTTATCAATCGCTGTTAGAGGCATGTAAAGTCTCACACACGGTGCCATTGCACCGCCGAATGGATCGTAACAGGAAAGCTATAAATACACACGCATCGCGGGGTAAACAAACTTGACCTCAGTGGAATTCTTATCGATGTACCTATATGTCGATGCAGTGTACACAGATATTTTGAGGTTATGTTAGTTATTAGGATTCGTTATATACGTATGAAGTCTTAGAAAATTCAATCATTTAATGTTACGGAATTAATATTTTTTTCAAGGAAACTAAAACAGTACATATGATATTAAACCGAAAAAAATGATTTGAAATGTGTATTCAATTATCATAAGTTATTGTTATTATTTCTCATATATATATTATATTTTTAAATAAAGTGCAATAATTTTATAAAAATAATTAATGTTAAATATTAAAATTTACCTGCCATATACTTTCACTACTCTAGAAAGTTGATATGTTAATTTATGTTAAACATCAGTTTCATGATACTAGGTTGATGTAGAGTTATGAGTACAATATATATATTGTACAAACGAATAATTAGATTTTAAATGATAAAATTTTTTGATTTTTATTTATTATATATCTAATATATTTAATGAATACCAAATTAAATATCAATTTTTATTTATCATATACAAATTTATATATTAATAATAGGTTGATAGTTTAATTTCATGATATTACTTTTTATAATTCATTGCTAAAAATTTATGTTTATTTAATACAGACTGCTGGCATATTCCCGGTTTTACTTGAACATCATCTGAACACAAATAAATCATAATCTGCACAATACAGAAAAAATTGGAGCTTTAATATTTGCTCCTTAACATTAAAGCACTGTTAAAAATGAAGTGGTCACCCGGTGCTTTGTTCTGCGAACAAGTTGGTGAACTCACTCGAGTTTTCTCACAGTGGAATGAATGTGAGCAAACTGTGGTTTTATATGCACTACTTCGTCACATTCCTGCAGTTCAAGCAAGGTTTCTTGCACAAGCAGTGCAGCATTCCTTGCACTCTGTTTCTGAATTGGATACACAGGAATTAAATGCCAATAATCCAGGTAATTTCTATAGATAACACAATTGCATTTATAGTTATACAGATGCAAATAATGTTGATGCAAAATACTGTTGCAGCATTTATTAACTCATTGCTCTCAGAATCAACAGAAGTTGCTATAAATCAACTTTTAACACATTTGCCATTATTAAGGCCTGGGAATATAGAGTGCAAACAATGCTACTTAGTAGCAATACCAGAATTAGTAAGCCACTGTGTAACTACAGGGCAATATACTGAACAAACTCAACAACTTCTAAGTTATTGTTTGATTCATCCAGCTATAACTAGTCAAGATAGACGTTCTTTGACTCAGTGGCTTCGACATCTTGAAGAACGTATTAGTGGTACACCTCCAATACATAGTCTGGAGGAATATACTAATACTACTATTAGGTGAGTTATGAATATTGATAATACTTACATAGATATTTATTGTATTAATTTTATTTTTATTTATTTTTTTAGGTGGGATAATGCATGGCAGCGAAATTCTAAACAGCAAAATGAGCAAACTAATTTGTTTGGTACACAACCAGGTACTGCCTTTAATTTGCAATTTCCTCCACCTGTAACTCGTCAACGTAGATCAAACAGTTTAACACCACCCGTTGCTCCTCCTCATCATTTAGAAGTTGTTGATCGCAGTAACAATGTAAACTGCACAACTAAACACAAGCCACGAAGCTTCAGCGTATCTGGAGATCATACAAGTTAGTTACTTTATAATATAAACAAAACAGTAGAAATTATATTTTTATTTTATTTGAGTAATCATTGATCCCTAAATAGGTAATCTTATTGGATTGGGCCCACTAAGTCCCCAAAGCTCTTGTGCAAGTAGCGGCAGCGAAGGGCGTTCAGATGAAACATCTAATCGATCTCTTGCTAGTGGTATGAGAGGTATGTGTATATAACTTTATACATTTATAGTTTATTACTAAAAAAATACTTATAATATATGTTGCTTATTTTATAGATGTTCCATCATGGCTTAAAAGTCTACGCCTTCACAAGTACAGTTATCTATTTGTTACTCTTAGTTACGAAAAAATGCTTCAATTAACTGAAGAACAATTAGCAGAACAGGGCGTGACAAAAGGGGCCAGACACAAATTAGCCCTTTCTATTGCAAAATTACAGCAACGTTACACGACACTTCTAAATTTAGAAAAAGATTTATTACAACCAACGCGCGATAATACACAATCAGCTTCGTTTCTACAAGGACCAACGGTATTGGTTAATACAATTGATGAATTAAAAACCATTTTAGCTACACCTATGAAACCAAGCCAAGAAAACGATCCTCAAGATATACCTGCACAATTCACTAAAGTTCTTGGTAAACGTGAGTATCGCATATTTGTTAATATATTATTTAGAAATATAAGTACTGATAACAAATATAAAAATATTTTAACATTCATGATTTTTTATTTTTTAGTGTGTAGTCGATTGGCACTGGATAGTGTGGATGACGGTATTTTGTGCGCTTGCATCAATATATTAGAGAAAGTATTGCAGCACGATTGCTTTACTCCAAACCAAAAGGAAAAGGTGCAACAGTGGCGCAGCAGACTTGGAAATCCACGACCAGCTCCAAAGTAAGATTAAAAAAACGAATAATTATTTTGTATTTTCTTTTTACAAAAATAATAATTACATTGTAAAATAAGTAGCTGGACATGTGATTAAGACACGTTTGTCTATAATTTCAGATGGCAACATAATTATGGATACAATAATAGAAGGTACTGTAATCCACAGCAGCACAATAGAAAACCAAGTTTAAATTTAGGGCACATTCATAATACACACCCGCAAAACAATCCTTTTGTGGTTAGCACTCATAGAAACAGTATATCTACTCCATATTTACAAAATAATCAGAACCAAAGCGTAAATCAGAATACTTTACGTCCAGTCCACGCGACCAAAAAGCGACCTAGTTTACAAGAATCTAGTTTACAGGTATGTATTTTTTTAAGTTGAATTAGATATTTTAATATAAGTTCTTTTTGTATCAAAAATAATTTGTATTCACATTTCAGCAACTGCAAAGAACATTACAGCGTACATACAGTGCGCCGAGGGATCATTTTCTTAGTCCGAGTAGTAACAATGCGTCAGAAACAACGGAACCAGAAATCAACTCTCGCCTTGAATCTCTTTGTTTAAGAATGACAGAACAGGCGATCGGTGGTTTCGGCGAGGCCTAATAAATTCTTCATTTTTTTCATTGACTGGATCTACACAGTAAGTCCTGTTAAAAAAAGAAAAAAATTATAAAACGATATACATGTCCGAGCTCCGTTCTTTCAAAGTTAAAGCAAGACTGACTTCCGTACATCTTGCGAGTATGAAGAGACTCTGACAGCAATGATAGTGCTGACAAGTTGCATGTACAAACGTGCACACATTTTCACGCTTTAATAGCCCTACCAAATGA